AGCAAGAGCGCATCGGCAGCGGACGAGAAGGCGAGAAAGCTGCGTCAAGCAGGTCTGAAGCAGCGGACTGCCAGTGGCAAGGGCCCTTCAACCATTGCGAATAAGACTATGATGTCCAAGACTGCATTGGTAGCAGCATCCCAGGCCAAACAAGCCCATAGTGATTCCAATAACACAGCTGTTCAAACTCAGCCGAAGCGCCACGAGGAACTTTCGGCAACAATCGAGGGCATCCGCGTTGTCCTTATCGGCGATGTCCACGAACTTCCCATTCTGGACCTGGGTATCAAGAACTTTACCGCCACGGCCGAAGACTGGTCTTCGAATCTCAAAGCTGAAACTGCGATCGATATCTATACGAACGTGTACAACTTTTCAAAGTCCGCGTGGGAGCCTCTGCTAGAGCCTTGGCAGGTCGGATTTGGCATTGCGAGAGAGCAGCAATCGGGTCTTTTGTCCATTGATGTCGCTTCCAAGAAGATCTTTGATGTCACAATCACAACAGCTACCATCGCTTTGGCGTCCAAGTCCTTCGCTTTCCTTAGCAAGGATGAGGATGTTCTCGGCAAACCGCGTGGTGTGGACGCCCCTTACCGCATCCGGAACTATACCGGATTTGACGTTGTCGTACAGTCAAAGAGTATGACGACGGACGACAACATGACCGCGCGTCTCGAGGACGGGCAGGAAGTCCCTTGGAGCTTCGAACCGTGGGAGAAGATGCGAGAGAACCTCTCGACCGAGAGCAGTACTGGTAGTGTCGGCATTCACTTGGAAGGTAGTGGCTTTGACCCGGTCAAGAACGTCAGGCTGAACCGTGAGGGTGAAGCGATCTACGGCCTCAAGCCGAAGACTGACAACATTTTGCACCGACTTCTCGTGGAGGTCACCCTGGGCAAGGACAACGTCAAATATGTCACTTTAAGATCGCCCCTCGTAGTTGACAACCTCACCCAGATCCCAGTCGAGCTCGGTGTCTACGACGCGCAAGAGGGCCATCTGCTCAAGATTGAGAAGATCGCGCCCGGTGAAAGCCGCCCGGCTCCTGTGGGTGCTGTGTTCTTGAAGTCTCTACTGGTACGGCCCGACTCTGGATTTGGCTACGCCTGGTCCTCTGAGACCTTGTGGTGGAGAGATCTCTTGAAGCGGCCAACCCGGACGATGGTTTGCAAGGGGGAAAACGGGGACCCGTTTTACTTCCAGCTCAACGCCACCTTTGATCGGTCGAATCCTTTGACCAAGTAAGTCTGCCATCATCTTAACATGATCCTTGACTAATCTCTCGTTCAGAAACTATCCTTACATGCGCATCAAGCTCTCGCCTCCAGTCATCCTCGAGAACTTGCTTCCTTACGACTTCAAGTATCGCATCTACGACAAGAACACCAAAAAGGACTGGGCAAACTTCCTCCGCAAAGGTGGTCTTAGCCCCGTACATGTTGTAGAGCTATCACACCTCCTCCTCCTCAGTGTTGACATGCAGGACACTGTCTTCAAACCCAGCGACTTTGCCATCATCAACTCCGGGGCTTCGGATGATTTCAAAAAGGAAGACAGGCTGCTCTGCAAGGACGAGGAAGGCTTGCAGCTCAATCTTAAGCTTCACTACCACAAGATCCCTGATAGCGGTGGAGCTTTCCGAGTCACGGTCTACAGTCCCTACATCATCCTGAACAAGACTGGTCTTGACCTGCAGATCAGAGCCAAGGGCTTCTTGCAGGGCGCACGACCTGCAGCCGGACAGTCGACTCTGTCCTCCAGGTCTGGCAATAACCGTCCTAGAGCTACGCCATTCATGTTCTCCTACGGCAACGACGATCATAGAAACCGAGCCTTGCTGCAGATTGCGGATTCGGAATGGAGCAAGCCGCAGAGTTTTGACGCCATCGGAAGCACAACCGAGGTGGTGCTGCCCTCGCCCTCCAGGAACACTGAGGTGCACATTGGCATCACCACCGAGGCTGGAGAAGGCAAATACAAGATGACCAAGGTCGTTACCCTCGCACCACGATTTGTTCTGGAAAACAAGCTTGGAGAGGAGATCAACGTACGCGAGTCTAGCTCTTCTGGGTTTATGACGCTGAAGCCCGGCGCCCATGAGCCACTTCACTTCATGCAGAAGACCTCCATCAAGCAACTTTCGTTGTGTCATCCCGGCATGAACAACCAGTGGACCTCTCCTTTCAACATATCAGACATTGGAACCACCCACGTCAAGATTGCCAAAGCAGGCCAACGCCAACGTCTGATTCGCGCTGAGATCTTAATGGAGGGTGCAACGATCTTCCTGCATCTCAGCTTGGAGACCAAGAATTGGCCCTACCAGATGCGAAACGAGAGTGATACGGAATTCACATTCTACCAGGCCAACCCTAGCCTGGACGATGATGGAGTCGAAGACAGATCCGGCTGGAGGCCAATCAAGTATAGGCTGCCGCCTAGGAGCATCATGCCATACGCATGGGATTTCCCGGCTGCCAAGTTCCGTGAGATCATCATCAACGCCCATGGCAAGGAAAGACATGTCAAGCTCGCGGAAATCGGCAATCAGATTCCAATGAAATTTGCGACAACATCCGGACAACAGAAGATTATCGACATCAATGTTGCCGCTGACGGACCTACCCAGACGATGATTCTGTCCAACTTCAGGCAATCCAAGAGTCTGTATCGACAGAAGTCCAAGTCCGGATCTCGCACGAGCACCGATGGCTTTGAGGTCAAAGACCAAGAGACGACAGCAACCTTCCGCGCTCAGCTGAAGCTTTCGGGTATTGGAATTTCGCTCATCAATTCACAACTAAAGGAACTTGCATACGTCACATTCAGAGACGTCTCTCTTCGTTACCACGATTCTCCTCTACATCAGACTATCGCTCTATCTGTTAAGTGGATTCAAATAGACAACCAGCTGTACGGTGGTCTGTTCCCGATGATCTTGTACCCGAGTGTCGTGCCAAAGAGGGCTCAAGAGGTTGACGCACATCCTTCGCTTCACGCCATGGTTACTCGCGTGAAGGACGATTCCTACGGGGTGCTGTACATCAAGTATGCAACACTGTTGATGCAGCAGATGACAATCGAGCTCGATGAGGACTTTGTTTACGCTGTCTTGGACTTCTCCAATATTCCTGGGGCCGCCTGGTCAGACACCAATGAGGAAGGCAAACTCTGTGACGAGGAGCTGGACATCCCAGAGCCGCAGCGGCAGCAATCTGGCCAAGACATCTACTTCGAGCTGCTCAACATCCAGCCCATGCAACTCGACCTCTCCTTCATGCGCACGGAACGAGTCAATGCCGAGGACAAGACGTCGTCTCGAAACCCTCTCATGTTCTTCCTCAATGTCATGACGATGGCCATCGGTAATATCAACGACGCGCCGATTCGCCTTAATGCACTCATGCTAGACAACGTTCGCGTGTCCGTAGCTGCCTTGACACAAAACATCACGAGTCACTACAGCCAAGAAGTTCTCTACCAGGTTCACAAGATCCTCGGGTCTGCCGACTTCCTTGGAAACCCCGTTGGTTTGTTCAACAACATCAGCTCCGGCCTCACGGACGTGTTCTACGAACCCTACCAAGGCCTCATTCTTTCGGACAAGCCCGAGGACTTTGGTATCGGAGTTGCGAAGGGAGCCGCGTCACTTGTCAAGAAGTCTGTCTACGGCTTCACCGATTCCTTCTCCAAATTCACTGGGAGCTTGTCCAAGGGCCTTGCAGCTGCGACTCTCGACAAGCAATTTCAAGATCGTCGTCGCATTACACGTGCACGCAATCGACCCAAACATGCTCTGTATGGGGTCACCACCGGCGCCAACTCTTTCTTCACAAGCGCCGCTTCTGGCGTGGGTGGACTCGTCCGCAAGCCGTTGGAGGGTGCTGAGCAGGAGGGCGCTGTTGGATTCTTCAAGGGAATCGGCAAGGGTGTCGTCGGATTCGCTACCAAGCCCGCTATTGGCGTTCTAGACATGGCCTCGAATGTCTCGGAAGGCATCCGCAACACGACCACCGTCTTTGACGGCTCAGAACTCGATCGCGTCCGCCCTGCTCGATTCGTGCCCTCTGACGGTATCGTGCGACCGTACAATGCCCGGGAAGCCCTTGGCCAGTCATGGTTGAAGCAGGTCGACAATGGCAAGTACTTCAACGAGAACTACATTGCCCACCTCGAACTGCCACGCGAGGACATGGTTGTCATGGTCACTTACGCTCGGATTTTGCTTATTCGTAGCCGGCGACTGACATCGGAATGGGATGTGCCCCTCAAGGACGTACAGACGATTGCCAAGGAGCGGACTGGCCTGAGCCTGACGCTGAGGGGAGGCACGAACGGTCCGTTCCTACCTGTTGGCGATGAAAGTGGCCGCGCCTTTTTGTACAAGATGGTGGCCGTCGCTGTGGAGGAATTCAACCGTCGGTTCAGGGGACTCGAGTAAGGCGGGAGGCGGACGGTGTGACACTGTGGCCGTGTAACAGGCCGAGGCTGGTTCGAATACATGAGGGCAGGTCTTTTTGACTTGATTCACCATTACTTCTCTTCTTTTTTCGAGGCCTGTAAGCATAGCCTCGCGATTTCATTAGCAATTACATATACTTTATCTTGTCTTGTGTTAGCACGTTAGGACCCTTTACCAGCAGCCGTGAGCTCACAAAAGATCTGCTGACGAGGCCTTTGTATAAAAGCGGCAAAGTACATGGGCAGTAAATACCCCTCCCTCCCTGGTATCAGTTGTCACGTTCATCATTTGCCAGCGCATTTACAGTTCAGTCATAGCAATCGCAACAAGAAAGGAGTGTGGGTGTATTATCTTCCAAGTGACCAAGTTCAACCAAGATGCGCTATTATACTAAAATCAGAAAAGAACAAACGCCCTAATGCTATGCTCAAACTCCACCCTGTGATGCCATCTATACCATCTTCCATCCTCGGATGCTCATCAATCACGATTGACGATCCGTCTATGTATGTCCAACTCCTTGTTAAAAACCAACCCTTTAGTTGGAGGGGCAGTAGCCGATAGTGCAAGCGTCAGACTTGCAGCAGCCGCGGAAGCCGTTGGCGCACGACTGGAAGAATCCGGTGCCGGGGGCGCAGACAGTGGGATCAGCGTTGGCATTGGACTTGCTCTCGGGGGTCGGGGTGGCGGTCGTCTGAGGGGCCGTCTTGGTCACCGTCTCAAAGGTCTTGACGTCCGGGCAATAGCCAATGGTGCAGGCGTCCTGCTTGCAGCAGCCGCGGAAGCCGTTGGCGCACGACTGGAAGAAGCCGGTGCCGGGGGCGCAGACTGTAGGGTCGGCGGCGCGCTTTGAGGGGGAGGCGATGGCCAGATCGGGGCAGTATCCCAAGGTGCAGGCGTCGGATTTGCAGCAGCCGCGGAAACCGTTTGAGCAGGACTGGAAGAAGCCGGTGCCAGGGGCACAGACGGTGGGATCCTGACGCTTCTCGGAAGCAGAGGTAGTAGGGCAGTAGCCGAGAGTGCAGGCGTCAGACTTGCAGCATCCACGGAAGCCGTTGGAGCAAGACTGGAAGAAACCAGTGCCGGGAGCGCACACCGTCGGGTCCTGACGCTTCACAGAGGCCGAGGGACAGTAGCCAATGGCGCAGGCGTCCTCCTTGCAACATCCACGGAAGCCGTTGGAGCAGGATTGGAAGAATCCGGTGCCGGTAGGGCAGACGGTGGGGTCGGTGGATTGCTGGCTGGCCGAGTGGCCGGGGTTGACGGGGGTGGTCTCGGCCGGAGCGTTGGCGGAGGTTTCGGTCACGCCGGGGCAGTAGCCGATGGTGCAGGCGTCGGCCTCGCAGCAGCCGCGGAAGCCATTGGCACAGGACTGGAAGAAGCCAGTACCCGGCGCGCAGACAGTGTCGTCGCGCTTGGTGTTGAGGGAAGGGCTTGCCGAGGCAAGAGTTGCGACGGCAGCGAGGAAAGTGAGGACGATGGAAGAATGCATTGTTGATTGATAGATGTGGTGGATTCGAGTTTAGATTAAGCAGAAGTTGACGATTGTGAGAGTGATGGAGTCGAGGTTTGCAGATTGAACGATTGTCCCAAGGAAAGAGAAACCGACAAAGGAAATAAGGAAATAGGAAAGAAAAAAGAGGAAAAGAAAATGTGAAGTTATAAACAAGTTGTTTGAAGTGATTGTTGATGAGAAGAAAGAGACGCCATATCGGGGGAGGAACCAGGTTGGATTTATACACATCTGACAAAAAGTGAAATACAGGTCGTTTGCACGGAATCTATTTTCATTGCCATCTCTCAGAGTAGCCTATGCCTTACCACAACCGGCTGTGCGTTCAGCGGGATCTCGCAAAGAGGCCGCGACGTGCCAGTAAGCCCGCCATTATCGTGACCAAGGCGTGTCGTTCCTCCTAAGCCGAAATTGGTGTGTAAATCAAACAGCACGTCGGAAGTCTGCTGCGCATACGCACCGCCCGCTGAACTCCCGGAGCTGAAAGCACGTCGCCCTACGGAATAAAGTATGGCATAGGCTATGCAGAGTGAGACGGGCATCTGCATCCCTTGCATCCGGGTGTGATGAATCCTCCTTCATCTTCTTCCCCCGGACTCGGACCTTTCCGAGCAAATGGGTAGCTAAGGATGCAAGCTGCAGAACCTTGTGGTAGGCAGAGTAGCACCGTCAGCCCCGATTGACAAACGCGATAGGCGTGCGTCGCAGGGCTGAGCTGCAAACCGAGTCTCTGCTGAGCGTCTTGGTGCTGAGGGCGGAGGGACGAGTCGCCGACTAGGACGGTTCGAGTCAAGTCGATGGCCGCCGGGAGGAGAGCCAAAGGAGTTCCAGAGGCGGCGGCGCAGTTGCACCTGTCAGACGCCAGAGGGCTGGGTCTCACAGACGGTCTCACTTGGACCTCTGGGCTCTCGTGGTTGGTCCCATGCCTTTTGCTGACATACCGCTCATTTTGCGCTGCAGTGGTAAGCTTATTCTTGGCTCACAGGATGTTGAGGGGTCGTGCATATCGAGATCTCAGAAGCTAGAGGTGGATGGTTAGAAACGGAGATAGGAAGGGAGAAATGGTGCTACTTTGGCATCGTGGATTGCTCATGTAGTAGCCACGTAGCTTCGTCACCACATGTGCGAAGTACAAAGCATGTACGAATATCAGTCTCGGGAACAGGCTGACAGCAGCCGCAGCGTTGAAGCTGTTGCCAAGGTACATTGACTAGCCTCTCTATGTAGTATCCATCTGCTCCTAGAACCTCTAACTGCTAAGGGTTGAGGTTAAGAAGCGAGACCGCTGATTAACCCGCGTTTGCCGTCCCGTGATCATTGACGAACTCACGAGTGGAGGAGGTTCCGCTCCATTTTTGTGGCTCTTTGCGTGGGCGAGTCAAGTGCCGGCAGTAGCCAATAAATGGGAGTTCCTGATCAAGAAGATCTTCATCTAGATTCTCGAACCACTGCACAGCGGGTCACATCGAGAGAGCTCTGAAGAAGCTGGAAATGGTTCGTGGCGGGCCGAGTCCCGAAAGAGAAGGAGGATGGAGAGAACATTCTCCGAACGGCACGCATAACCCGATAGTAGTCCCGATCTGTTGCTTCAACGTCCCCGTCTTGGCTCACGGAGCATCGCCGTTATGGCACGGCGCTTGGCAGTCCGAATGGGAGCAGTTCCAGAAGCATTGGTTTTTGGGCCAGTTCGGAGGACGGTACACGGAACTGCATACCCGGACGTTCTGTATCTGATACGAAGGCTGCGGACACTGTTAATCAAAATAAGGACTTGGGAAATTCTCCCCCTAGGCCGTTTCCAACTTGGCCCCGGCAGTGGGATGCCGATATTTTCTCGTTGGGACGTGGGACATGATGCTGGGTAGAATTTCTGCCGCGCCTAGATCATCAGTCGTCAGCCCCCCCCAGTTTAGATCTTGATATGATCATACCCAAAATGCGGGATGATGGTTGAGACAGTTTCTTAACTTGTTGGGCAGAAGATGCGGCTGGGTCATCTCTTTTTAATCAGTCTGTGGCCCTTGCCGTGGGCAGCGTGTGCCAGAAAAATGGAATATACTTTGAAGTTTTGACCACGACGGGACGAACTGCAACCATGACGCGGCTCATCTGTGCCGTTTCCTTTTGTTTCACCAAAGCTCACCCCAGCGCCGCTCCAGGTCGCCCCCTGATGGCCCTGGTTCATCGAGAAGATTTGACCTTGGGTTTTTGCATAGTAGGGATGCTGAGGTAAAGCAGTCCGGCAAGCAGTACCCCTGACAAAACTACCGGGGGTAAAGAGAATGGTCTGGCGGCCAGGCCCCGATAGCGCCACCAAGTACTCTATTTCATACCTCTAATACCCATTCGGGACGGCATTTGAGTGAAGCGAGCTCGCTCTTAAGCCCACTGTCTGTGTTGTTCTTTTAATTAATTAACACGGCGTCAGAATCCCGGGCGCAGAGGGTTCGATTTTCATGATTCGTCAAACAGCCACTCTCCAGAGCACCTGTTCCGTTCAATTTCCCACAAACAATGGGACGGATCGTGGGGTCGCTGGCGGAAGCGGCGTGGGCACTGCAAATGGCGAATCGACCACAGGAGTCGAGGACTCGAGGTAAGGCTGCTGGGCCCATTGGTGGAGGAAGTTAGGGGAGATCTGAGGAAGGGATTCCTTTTATCATCTCATCAGGGCCCTTTTTCTCAAAGAGATACAAACTGATTGTTTTCCCTGATCATTCCGTCGTCCCATTCCGGTGCCTCTCGTTTTCTTTTTTGCTCTTCCAGTTCTCGACATTTCTGTCGGTATTCACTCGTTTTCAAAATCAACAAACATGAAGTTCGCTTCCTTTTCACTCCTTGCGCTGGGCGCTCTTATCCCGGAACTGGCCAACGCCCAGCTGTCTGGCACCGTTGGACCTACCACCAAGGCCGCGACCAAGGCCGCCAAGAAGACATGTAACATCACCAGCTACGGCGCCAAGACCGGTGCCACCGGAGACATCGGCGCGGCCCTCAAGTCCGCTTGGGACGCCTGCAAGACCGGAGGTGAGATCCTCATCCCCGCCGGTGAATGGGGTCTCGGCACTTGGCAGACTCTCTCCGGCGGAACTGGTGTTTCCATCAACCTCGAGGGTACCATCTACCGCACTGGAACTGCTGGCGGCCACATGATCATCGTCCAGAAGTCAACCGATGTCGAGTTCTACAGCGGCAACTCCAAGGGTGCCATGCAGGGCTACGGCTATGAATTCCACAAGCGTAAGACATTCCCACTCCAAACCAATCGCCACCACACAATACTGACGATTTGATAGAGGGCAGCGGTGTCTACGGACCTCGTCTCCTGAGGTTCGTCTCTGTCACCGACTTCAGCGTTCATGACATTGCTCTCGTTGACTCTCCGGCTTTCCACTTCGTCATGGACACCGTCACCAACGGAGAGGTCTACAACATGATTGTCCGTGGTGGCAACCAGGGCGGTCTTGATGGCTTCAACTTGATGGCTGCCAAGAACGTGCACGTTCACGACGTTGCCGTCACCAACAAGGACGAGTGCGTCACTGTCAAGAACAAGTCTAGCAACATTCTCGTCGAGAACGTCTTCTGCAACTGGTCCGGTGGCTGCGGCATCGGCTCATTGGGCGTTGACACTGGTACGTCTAGGCTCCGAGAGGAATCTCTCTATTACGACGCAATCACTAACAAGAGTTGTTTGTAGCCATCTCCGACATCCACTACCGCAACGTCTACACCTCCAACTCCAACCAGATGCTCATGATCAAGAACAACGGTGGTGATGGTGCCTTCCAGAACGCCAAGTTCGAGAACTTCATCGGTCACGGCAACGCCTACTCCCTCAAGATCGACTCTGCCTGGACCGGCCAGAGCAAGGTCGCCGGCAACGGTGTCGAGTACAAAAACCTGACCTTCTCCAACTGGAAGGGCACCGCCGCCAACGGTGCCGCTCGCGGTCCCGTGGTCGCCCTCTGCGCTGCCGCCGTCCCCTGCGAGAACATTGACGTGTCCGGTATCAACATCTGGACCGAGTCTGGCTCTTCCATCGTCGACAAGTGCAACAACGCCTTCGGCACCGGTCACTGCATGCGCACCGGCTCTGGGACCTACACCAGCACTGCTACTACCAAGACCGTCACCAGCTACTCCGCTGCCACCATGCCCGGCCTCGTCACCGCCGGACTCGGCATCACCAAGTCCATCGACATTCCCGCCATCCCCACTACCTTCTACCCTGGTGCCAAGCCCGCCAGTGCTCTTGCTGGCGCCGCTTAAGCGCGAGAAGGCCATGAACGCGAAGCAACCAGGACCCGGCTCGACAAGAAACGAGCCAATCTCATTTTCCTGTACATACTTACTTAATTGGAAAAGCCAAGCTGCACATATCATTCGGGAAATGATTATCAATTTTCTCTGGCGTCTATCACTTGACTCAAATTACTCTAATCACCGACTAACTGCTGTCTTATTGACTCCCGACCTGTGACTTGATCCAATGTTCGTCCAAGTGACCCATGGTGACCGATTTCGTTTCCTTGACGCCGACAAACTCTCTCAGCTTCCCCCTTAGTAGGTACGTCGGGGTACAGCTCCAAGCGTGACAGAAACTGTTGTTTCGAGCATCTCCGTAGGGACTTGCCCGAGGGTCTTCCGGGTTGTAGCATTCCCAAAAAGTGTCTGCACCGGCGCGGACCATACCTCCCCAGTAGCTGGTCATGATCTCCACACACTTATCGAACAAGCCCACGGTAGCGAGGGCATCGCACACATGGTGCCATAGGTAAGGGGTCAGGGGCTTGAGAGCATCAGGGTGTGCAAGTGTGTTAATCAGGGCAGCCTTAGCGGTTTCCTGAGGATATGCTTCTGCAAGAACAAGCCAAGACGCCGACGCAAAGCTAACCTGTCCCTTGGGGCCAGACACGAAGACATTGTCTGGAGAAAGGAAGACCTTCGCTGCTTCGGTCATTTGGGCCACGAGGTCCACAAAAGGGGCCTCCTTGCCGAGAACCGTGGCCAAGGAGTTAGCTGCTTTCAGACAATACAGCAGAACCCCGTGTAGTCCTGCGCTGTGTTCCAGCCCAGGCTGCCAGTCAAGGAACTTCCATCCTTCACCCTTGGACTCATCAAACACGTGAGTGTTAGCATCGAGATGCGTAAGAGCCCGCTTCACGCAGCCGAGGACGGTGGGCCAAAGGCTGTGACCCGCAGCTTTGTCGCCCGATGCCACCACGTAGTCATACGTAATGGCGGCGAATAGCGCGTCGTAGTCTACAATGTAGTCGGTCGAAGGCGTGAGCTGAGGCTGTTCAAAAATGCAAGCTGGCACAGAGTCATCTTCGCGCACCACGGCAGCAAACTGGAAGATGCAGCGCTTGACGAGGTTGAAGTCCCGGAAGGTGCTGTAGTTTGCAAGTGCTTGAAGACGAAGATCTCCGCTCCAGAGCCGACGATCCCTTCGAGGTCCGTCCTCAAAGACGGTTTGCATGCAATCTCTCAGTGTCGATATGCTAACGTGGTCAATCTGCTGGAGGAGAGGATCGTTGAACTGCGGAGCCTCCAGGGCGTGGTTCTGGCTGATGGCGCTAACACATTGACATTTGACTTCGGAAAATGTAACCTTGTATTTGGGTGAGGTGTCGATGACTTCAACTCGAAGGAAGCGGAACGAGTATCGTCGAGATAGAGAGACCTCCTCAGGGCACATGTCGATATTGATGATTTCGTCCGGAAGCCAGCTGGTGCTGATCCATGTCTTGACATTTTCCATGCCGAGAGTCACGTCCAAAGGAGATTCGCCGAATGTGAGGCGCAACCTGCACGGGGCGTCCATGTGCGAGCCCCGGGACTCTAGTCTCATTGAGAGATATCCCACCATGTGAATACCAAAGTCGAGAATGAAGCCATCTCCTTTCCCCCAAGTCTTGGACGGCAACTTGTCAATGGAATATTCCGCAGGCACGGCACGGACACCAAAGTATTGGCCCTCGTCTTTGTCGAACGTGATGACGCGTTGAGGTGTTCGTGTCCATCGCTGCAGCTGCGGGCACAGATCATTGGCAATCTTTTCAAAGTCCCGGTTCCAGCGCGTCGGAAGCACGCTCTCGACCATGTCCTCGGGAGCATCTGCCATGGTGGGCGAATGGCTTAGAGTCGACTAGGGAGGAGAGACTATTGCAGCACTCGGAAGGACAAGGCGCGTGATTGGGGGCTGAGAATGAACTTGAGATTTGTGTTTCGTCTGTGGTTGCCAGCAGAACATGGGCTTAGGTCCAGGTCGTTGGAAATGCTTTTGAAGACGCCACGATCCCAAATAGAATCCATAAACGCTTCGGTGTGACAACCACCCGAGAAGGGCAATCGAAAGCACCGAAGCTCGAGATGAGGGGAATGTGGCTGACGCTTCTGATTGCTCAATCGGGACTTTTCAGACCCATGGCGATGTCGGCGTGGAGACCATTTCTGGGGCCGGTGCGGGGATATACCGAGGAAGAGTCAGGATTCATGACAAGCTGAATCGACAAGCGTCTGGAACTCCAATGGCCCAGGTCAGCTGGACGCAAGAAGATGGTTCAACAACGGCAGAACTACGGATGAGCTGCGGCCGAACTAGCATAGTCATCGTCTCGTAAGGTCCTTGTTCAGGTTTTGCGAAAGCCTTTGCCTCCTTGGCGGCACCATTAGACCGAGGAACGGCCCCAAGCTAGAAGAGGCTCCTTTACGCAAATGCCGAGCTGCCACCAGTTCATAACACGCCTGTGCTCTCGATTTGCTGACCACAAGAGCACGTCGTATTACTGGGTGCTGGAATACGGTAGTTGTTGGTCGTCTCAAGAAATAAGAAGCATATACAAGCACAACTTCCATAGCGATAATAACAACCACCACCTAGGTCCCCAGAGACTCGCAGCAAACTGCGATTCTGATGATGCTCAGGTCAACCCCCCGCATCTTTCATCTGCATTTTTTCCATGCACGAGCCGGGGTATAGCCGTGTCTGTGGGGTCCCCAGACTACACTACCGAAACGGCGGGTCAATGACACCTTTGGCCCAGGCCAGAGTCCATGTCCAGAACCTGACCACCACTGGCGTGGGCGACTGGCATCGGCACCAAGTCCAAGTTCATCTCATGGCTCAGTCTAACTTTCACTCTTTGGGTTAGCAGCCATTCAGCCACAACCAACCAAAGCCCACAGGTTATTCTTCGGGACAAAGACTGACTCGAGAGGCTATCTACCGCACCGCGCTATTGACAACCTCCCTTGGTCAACACTTGCCGGCAACATGGCCGAACCATCAGTGAAACGCACTCCCACGGCTCCCACCATGCAGACAGCCCGGCCCCTCCCCCGCAAAAGTTAACCAAATGGTTGGGTGAGGAGGCGGGCCTACCTTCAGGACCATCACGCCTGACCTCGGACCTGACGAGGAATGCCACCAGGGAGAAAAGGGGCTTGCGCTATAGACTATGGGTTATTGTCGGCCGATCATTGAGACGACGTTGATCCGAAGAAGTGCCTACAACTGCCTCCATCCGAAAGGCTTTTGAAAAGTTCTGGACAATAAGAACCGGGGACATTCCCGGCTGGGTTGCACTTTGCCCTAGTTCCCCAGTCTCGAACTCCTCAACTTCCCCAGATCGTCGGTGCTTCCCCAGATTTTCTTCAACTTTAAGTTGTTCGGCCCGACGTTTTCACACATCTTCGATACTTCCATTTCCTCACCCAGAGCTGACAGGAACGGCGATCATGGACGACAAACACCTTGAGGCTCACCCGACGTCCATCGTCGACAAGGACGACATCGCCGCGGCCAAGGGCGAGCACGTGGAGGAGATTGGCCACGCCGCGACGGCAGAAGATCACGACGAAACTGTTTTACAAGCCATCAAGAACCAGCCGTGGGCGTTTGTGTGGTGCATTTACGCCATATACGTCCTCATCCTCACCAGCTTTGACAACCAGGCGGGAGGAACGGTCATTGGAATCCCCCAGTTCCGCAAGGATTTCGGTTCCGAATTCAATGGCAACTATGTTCTCCCCGCAAAGTGGCAATCTGCCTACAGCGGAGCCCCTGTCGCATCGTATGTGCACTGTTCCTATAGCTTCCCGTCATGAGCTGACGTTACTCTCCATCACAGTGCCGTCGTTGGATCCCTCGGTGCTGGCTGGGTGGCCGACCGCATCGGCCGCAAGTGGACCTACTTCATCAGCTACGCCTTCATCTTTGCAGGCATCACTTGCGAGACAGTAAGCACCACCAACGAGATCTTCTTCGCGGGCAAGTTTATTGCCGGATTTCCCATTGGCGCTTTCATCACAGTCAGCATGACATACATTGGCGAGATCGCGCCCCTGGCTCTCCGCGGTATCTTGACCGCCGCTGCGGCTATCGCCTTCACGATTGGTCCATTCATCGTCAGTCTGGTTGTCAACGAGACTGGAACTAGAACCGACCGCTGGGCTTATCGCACAATCTTTGTGTCTCAATACGGCATCAGCGGCATTGGTGCCCTCTTGCTGTTTTTCATGCCCGAGTCACCGTGGTGGTTGGTTAGCAAGGGCAAGATGCAGAAGGCTGCCAAGTCCCTGAGTCGTCTTGGCTACGATGCGGTCCAGGTCGAGAAGCGCCTATCTGTAATTACTCTCACCCTTGCTGAGGTACGCAAGGAGACCGACGGCGCCAGCTTTGCTGAGTGCTTCCGCAAGTCCAACCTTCGCCGTACCATCATCTCCGTCGCACCTTTGAGCATCCAGGCTCTGTGCGGTACGTTATTCTTGTTCCTTCACAATTCTGCCCCTGACTGACTCTGTTTAGGTGTCTTCTTCGTTGCATCGTACTCTACCTACTACCAGCAACTGGCCGGATATAGCACAAAAGAGAGCTTTACACTGGCTATCGTGCAGCAGGTCATGTCCATGCTCGGTAACGTCACCGCATGGTTCCTTATTGATCGAGTTGGTCGCCGCGGCCTCACTCTTTGGGGGATGTGCATCCTGACGGTCCTTCTCATGATTACTGGTGGTCTTGCGGTGGCTGCCACACCTGGTGCCGTGAAGGGAACCGTCGCACTGCTGCTGGTGTACTGCTATATCTACAACGTCACCATTGGAGCCACGGCCTATTCTCTCTTGACCGAGGTTGCAACTTCGCGTCTCCGTGCCAAGACTGCCTCCATGGCTTTGGCTTTGCAAAACAGTCTCTTTGTAAGTCGAATACTGCCACCATTTGTCAATCTTGATATGGTTGATATGGAAACTAATCCCTTCTTTCTAGACCATGTGGGCCTTTGTTATCCCCTTCCTTTTCAACCCCGACCAAGCCAATCTCGGTGCCAAGGTGGCCTTCATCTTCGGCGGCCTTGCCGTTCTGTCCACTGTCTATCTCTGGTTCTACCAACCCGAGGTTGCTGGACGGTCTTACGAGGAGCTCGATGAGATGTTCATCAAGCAAGTCCCAGCACGGAAGTTCAAGGGCTACAAGACAGAGGTGCAGGAGAAGAGTGAAAGGGCAGTTGCGCACCAGCAATGATCTTTGACCTGATGTAGTTAAGATGATTTTAGGGGCACGGTAGTTAGACGACGATTTGTTTGATTCTCGAAACGATACACGAGTAGGCAAGAAGCGTCAGATATAAGAATATAGCACTTAATGGAACTCCCCAAGACCACACGAATTTCCGCTACTGATGTGATTGACGCTAACAACGCCTGATAAAAGGCAAGTGAAGCAGCTGTCAATACTTAGCAACGCTCAGGAGACATATGCCCCATCTTTGACAATAGTTTCTAGTAGTATATCAGGAGAAAAGCTGGTTTATCTTCTGCCGGCACACGAAGGCGGAGTTGAAGACATTTATTGACCAAATTCATCCTGCAACATCTCATCTGGAAGCATCTTCGAATCAGACTTCCAGCCAATGACGCTAGTCTGAACCGGTTACTCATAGATTCTACGTCTACTTCAGCCTCGGAGGTCTCTGGCCCCTGGCGCTTAATGTCTCTTACGGATCACGCCGATCTGCGTCGTCCCAGATGATGATCAAGGCGGTAGCTGGCCGAATTTTGACATACTTGCCAACAAATACCATTACTATGAGTCACTGCTCGCCTCGTCAGTTGCATTCATTTAGTCACCTCGGATACAAGGCTATGACCGATAGCAGTCGGCCTGTCTCGCAATCTCTCACGTATCATTCTGGTCCATCTCTGGGTGCAAAGCTCATTCAAAATAGGGTACCTGCTTGGAATAGCTTATCTAAAATTCAATCTCTGCATCGCCGGCTCCCATAAGACTCTGCATGTGCCATCAGAGCGACTGTATCTCGTTGTCCTTATCTACTTGGCAAAAGCGAACCTTTATTGCATGTGATTTGCGCGGCACTCACCAGTTGTAGGCATCGTCGTTCGCCAAATGTAGATTCAACGGTACAGCCCGGGGAATTTGTATTGGAAAGTAGTTCGTAGGATCTTAGGACGGAGGCCTGTTCCTTCGCGATCAGTATGACTAGCGCACATACAGGATGCACTTTCAGAAGGTTGGTGATGGCATCATCATCAATACAGACTTTTTCATCCACATCCTGGAGAAAAATTAGTAGAGAAATTACCTGAAAGGAAATGACGTGACGATCATCGAACAGAATTACTTGAACTTGAGTGGCAAGTGGGATTTCGTATCCTCATATGAAGACTGTCATGTTGGCTAGAAAATCCGCTTTGGCAGCTGTCATTGTATGAAACTTTACAAGGATCATAGTACGTAGGAGGTCAGGTTTGGGGGGGGGGGGATGGAACATGTACGAACATGGACAGATGTCAATTCGTCGGAAACTGATCGTGCATCTGTGTCCGTGGACTTGTAGAGACACCGTTGAACAAACAGGGTTTACTCTGTTTCCCAGTAGTCAAGAGTGAGACCCAGCGCCCGTCATGTGCTTGCTGTGTATGGAGTACGAAAATGTGATCCGAATATCCGGGAGTGGAGTTGCGGGTTCCTAAGGCTCTATCTTTACGGAGTACGGAGTAAGGTAATGTCGTTGCCACTCTGCGAATGCGGCGGTCCGCGATGTTGGATCTGGGGGCGGAGACCACACGTGGTAGCGTCTCTGGATCCGCGGTCTTTTGCTGACCCAGTTGCGCAGCTAACCAGCCCATTGATAATCATTTCCGCTCTCAATGCGGGAGCCGACGGGGATGCTGGGCATATCCCTTTCTCGCATACTGCATCGAAGGCGACACGACGCCAAGTTCCCAGTCCGTTAGTATCACTATTTCTGATAATGGTCACTTGGCTCTTCCGTAACGGGCATCGAGGGATCAGTCTTGCGCGCGCAAAGACTCAATTGTAGATAGATGACTGTCGGAGGACAGCGAAGGAGCCAGGCTGGCAAGCTGTGAGCCGGGCTCAGTTTCGCATTGGCGTCGTCGGAGCTCACCTTAAGCTTATCATCAGACACACTTCACGTGCCTGTAAAGAGTACAGAGCTATGCTGTAGTCCCCAGGTTCCCAGCCAACAGACTCAATTGGAATGGCGGAGCCGACCGAAGCTGAAAAGCGAAAAGCATGGCACTTTTGTGCTGGGCCAATCTCGACAGCCGAGTCGCACGCGCTCGTTGACTGGATTGGGCACACAGATACGACGGCTGCAATCCGCAACCTAACAGGCCCGTCAACCTTGCTCATGTTCCCCAGGGTGGCGTGGAGCACATCCTCTGCCCGCCCGGCGCCTGGCACCCTTAGTGCGCGCACTAAGATGCGGATGCTGAGGCATGGGAGTGAGAGGGGGGGACGGACTGGGGATGCCAGATGCGCCCAGGCCCAGGCCCTTTTGTGTTGGTCAATTTGGTGCTTGTGCTCAAGAGGAACTTTGGAGTTCTCGTCTGTCAGTGACGGTCTGGCAGATGTTCATCCCCAGGTCCCTTCTTCTCGGCCCTGTCCGACGACACAGGACCAGACGAGGAGCTGAGGGCACTGATAGAGAGGGCCGGGGAAAGCCCAAGATTGACTTTCTGTCGACACTACCTATCTACGACCCTCCAACAGTTTGCACTTGCTCTATCAACTAAATCGCAAGAGTGCGGTCCGGGTCAGGAATCCGAAGCATAGGGCTCGCTTACTGCTTGCAATTACGAATGACAGGGCTAGCTCGCCAATCTTGGCTTTTCATTCCGCTCATTGCTCCAGTAGTGCGCATGGCGAAAGGGCACACTACTGAGAGACCAATTGAGCATCCGCATCCGTACAACTTCGAGGTAAAAACCTACGGATGAAGTAGCAGGGATTGCTCTTATCGTTGATCTCACGGTACTGTATTGCAAGGTCAGCAGCCATGCGTCTCTTTGGCAGCAGGCTAAGATCCTGTGCCTCAATCAAGCGTCAGACATTGAGACTTTGACAGTACGTCTCGAGCAGGTGTCAACTGTCGAGCCTTCGCATCTCAACTTGTGCCGTGGGCTTGTGTGCTCACCGGCCTCTAGCGGCTCTTTCGATCCATGGCTTGTGGCGCCGCGGCGGCTGATGCAGCTATCGCCAGCCAGTCCCGATTCTCTGCATGTCTCCGTGTCTCTCTGACAAGCTTAGGGGTCACTTCGTGCGCCTCTTAGGGTCTTGGGCGTCGGCCCCTTGGCCATGTCTGCGCCCAACAGAGCGGAAGGATCTACCACACACCTTTCCATCGTACAGAAACAGGCCCGGTCTTGAGCCTATCAGAAACCCCTTAATGATCTTAGTCAAAGACACCGAACGCGATCCCCAGGAACCCACTGCCTCGACATTACTGGAGGCACCGGAGTCTCAAATCCTTTAGATGACGGTGCTCCGTACTTTGTCCGAGTATCTACGAGTCTACGGAGTACATATCCGCTGGCCGCTGCTAGTGCTTGGTCGTGATACATGACAACAGAAGAAACGAGCAGATCTCATCATGAGATGGTTCCAGGGCCATGATTCGTGCGTGGACTCGGCCGACGCGTCTCGCCCACGAGTTCGGCCAGTCTCGATCCTTGCCAGGGCCGCCAATTGTTTTTCCAACGAACCCGGCAACCTTTTCGCACCCACACGCTAGCCCTGCCCTTTTGCTAGACCATCTCTCCCACGTCCAGTCCCGTCTCTCCAATCTCAGTCGACTCCACTGCAAGTATCCATCGTTCCATCAACCTTCCAGAACCGGAAGCACGCCGTTAGCTTTGCCACTCACGTCGAGAGCTAAAGGTCTTGGCCCGGCTCTGATCGAGAGTCCGTGCCGTTGGGTGCGGCGACTATCCCTGTCCAGCTACTGTCAAAATGCAGAAAATAAAAAAAAAATTGCATTCCTTATCGCAAGCACACCGAGCAACAATCAAAGGGTTCTCAAGACTATACTTTTTTGATTAACCCAACCGGTATCTTGACCCCGTCAACTTAGAGTATCGGTGGGCCTTGGCGTACGCGAGTGGGTTTGGTTTCGATTGCTTGACAGATACCTTTTCCCGTCACAACACCGTCTGGCTGGCCCAAGTGGCCGGCAACAGCTTCACCATGGGTCCAAAAACCCGAGAGAGTATCAATAGCGTCGTACTACGAGGATACAAGACCAAAAAGTGCTGCTGATAGACCCCAGAGTATCCGTATGGTCCGTCAGCCTGGCACTTCACGAGAACCGTTGGCGGTCGGCCCACACACAGGTTGGGCGGCTTGCCACTCTCTCGTCTGCCCGTCTCCAAAGATATCGTCTTACCTACTCTTTCAATCTGCTCCAATCTCGTCCCTGATTCTCGCGTTGGCGTCCTTCGGACCTGCTCCCCTCCCACACTCCCTTGCTACACCCCGGCCACCCAGTATCTCTGGTGCAGCAGTTGTTCGTCAATCCCACACCCGTGAACCCTGTCGCCCATCCCATCCCGCACCCCTCGTTGGCTAGCCGTTCGTCCAGAATCTGGGTCAATCCACCGAGATGGGCACCGAACCGCATGAGGGTTTCCTCCTCCACACCACAAGGGCGGCGAACTCCATCCTGACCTGGTTGCTGATAAGGTCGACGAGTCGTAGGCATTGCTTTACTTGCCTAGCCTAGCCTCGGCACTACTTTCGGATTTCTTGATCGTCGCACTGGGGCTTTTTAAAGAGAGCTTCCCCTCGAGACTCATCTATTGTAAGGGTCTTGTCTCGTGCAGCTGCTTCCCGAGTCTCTCGCCGTCAACCTCCCCAAAGTACGCCAGGGCGCCTTCAACTGTGTGGCCCACGGTCTCCTCGTTACGGCAGACCACTGAAAGAACTGGTTGTCAAACCGCTCAACGCCTCTTTCAGCCCTACTTTTTCCCCATCTATACTCCTCTTTATCGGTGCGCTTCCAAGAAGCATATTCTCCAGCCATGTCTTCCCAGGTCACCGAGGTCAACCAGACCACCACCACGGCTGGGAGCACGCCCCCCCGCCGCAACTCGGACCCGGCGCTGGAAATTCACAACCAGCACCAGCATCAACATCTGCACCACAGCGCTCGTGTCGATGCCAAGGGTCACGACGACAATGTAACCTACACCAGGACCGGAGAGACAACTGTTCCGCACCAGAGCCATCTACACCAGCACTCTATCGAGCCCCACGACATTGAGAAGGGCGACAAGCTCAGCGGACCCCCTGATTACGATGGCGAGAAGACTGGCGTCGTGGCCTCCAACGAGGAGGAGGAGAATAAGCCCTCCAAGTTCAAAACCCTCTACCGCAAGTACAAGTGGGTTTTCCACATCCTCCTCTTCTGCTTCTTCACCGGCTGGTGGATTGCCTCGCTCATTGAGCACCGCAATGACAAGAACTGGGTAATTCCGTTCCTTGTCTGGCTCTGCATCTCCCTCCGCCTGTTCTTCTTCTACGTCCCGAGCTCCTACGTCTCCCGGCCGATCAAGTTTGTGTGGCAACACACTGCTCTCGTCATCTACAACGCCATTCCTGCCAAGTTCCGCACTATCGCTGGCGCTGCCGTGACGCTCGCTGTCATGCTCGTTGGCTCTTTCGTCTCAGAGGAGTCGGCCGACAACAACCGCGAGAACCGTGCCGTTTCCATCTTCGGTCTCATCGTCATCCTGGCCTGCTTCTGGGCAACTTCGAACGACCGCAAGCGTATCAACTGGCGTCCCGTTATTGGCGGTATGCTTTCGCAGTACATTATTGCGCTTTTTGTCCTTCGCACCGGCGTCGGTTACGACATTTTCAAGTTTATTGCGGATCGAGCTGGTGACTTGCTTGGCTTCGCCAACCAGGGAACGGCCTTCCTCACTGCTGAGAGTGTGCTTGATCTTCACTGGTTCATCACTGGCGTCATTCCTCCCATCATCTTCTTCGTCGCCATCGTCCAGGTCCTGTACTTCATCGGCTTCCTCCAGTGGTTCATCGGCAAGTTCGCAACCTTCGTCTTCTGGGCCCTTCGCGTGTCTGGTGCCGAGGCTGTCGTCGCTGCTGCCACCCCCTTCATCGGCCAGGGCGAGTCTGCCATGTTGGTTCGTCCTTTCGTCCCTCACATGACCAAGGCCGAAATCCACCAGATCATGACTTGCGGCTTCGCAACCATTTCTGGTTCCACTCTCGTCGCCTATATCAACTTGGGTCTCAATGCCCAGGCCATGGTGTCATCCTGCGTCATGTCCATCCCCGCCTCTATTGCCATTTCCAAGCTTCGCTACCCCGAGAAGGAGGAGACTTTGACTGCTGGAAAGGTCGTCATCCCTGACGACGATGAGCATGAGGCCAAGAACGCTATCCATGCCTTTGCAAACGGTGCTTGGCTAGGTATCAAGATTGCCGGTACCATTGTTGCATCGATTCTTTGCATCTTGGCCTTCATCGGTCTCGTTGATGGTCTGCTGACCTGGTGGGGTGGCTACATCAACATCAACGACCCTCCTCTGACTCTAAACCTGATTACCGGTTACATCTTCTACCCGGTTGCGTTCCTCCTGGGTGTTCCCCGTAACGGCGACCTTCTCAAGGTTGCCCGCTTGATCGCCCTCAAGGTTATTGCTGTAAGTGCAACTCCTCATCTGGATATCGCTTGACCACTTGACTTCAGGTACTGACTGGTATATGAATAGAACGAGTACGTTGCCTTCACCGAAATGAAGACGCCCGAGTACCTCGATCTCTCTCCCCGTTCCCAGCTCATTGCGACCTACGCTCTTTG